AACCGATCAGGATATTGGTAGGTATATAGAGAAAACAACAAAATGTATTTGGCTATTTTTAGAGGGCGATAAAGAGGCAGAGGAAAGGGGATTATTGTTGCCCATGCTTATTCTAATATTACTCCCTAGTTTAACTATAATTAAGTACAAGTTTTTGCATCTTCTGAATTAGCACAGTAAACTGCTGTAACTTCACTCACAACAATTACATAATTGTAACTATACTGATTTCTAAACAAATTCCCAACCTGGCACAAAAGCCACGTGTAAACTAGTCCTCAGCTGGTGTAAACTGGCATAGAACCTTTGATATTGATGGCACTATTACCATTTTTCACAAGCATAACAATAATACTCTGAACTTCTATGTCAAATGTAGAAACACAAAGTATTTCAAGTGTTTCAAACATTGGATTGGAGACATTCACTTTGCATCAAGAGAAGATGAGGTATACAGAAGTTCTGCCATTTGCTCAAAGTCACTCACAAGTAGATGGTAAAGCAAGAGAGCAAAATGCATACTGCTTCCACCTTACAGCCCTGTCATTTAATAGAGATCACACCCTTTTCTGTTTGTTTTGACAGCTACATGTGAACTCATGACTTCAAATAAATTAGAGTTCTGACAAACACAAAAGAATGCAATTATTTCTGCTAAGTAAGCTTAATTCAGCCTCATTGAGTAAAATAAAGTAACTATAAGAAGAATAAACAATTTAGTGGATACTGATAGTTTCTTATTTTGAGAGGGCTCACATCAGAAGATTAAACCCATTTGAACATCTTAAATACCATATTTGCATTAATCTCCCTGTTTGCATTAACACTGTTTTGATCTCTGAGTGTCACCAGTCTCTGTAGTGATCTATTACCAATTTGCTCTCCCATATTTCATACATAGCCAACATCCAAGAGAGTTTATCTTCTACTATGACAAGGATGATTTCATCCTTTCTTCTGTTTTACTCACATGGTAAGATAAATATCATAGATATATAGTTAATTACAGAGTACCCATCACTGTAGTATCCAAGCAGTAATGATACCGCATTTGAGATTCCATTCCATGCAAAACTAGAGCTAGCTGGAATCATAGCAGGCCTTTTCCACACTCATGCAGCACCAGGACAGGTTTTCAGTGCAGTCCAGGTTGAACCTCTCTAAGTCCAACAACCTTGGGACCTGACTGGTGTCGAACCAGAGAATTTGCTGGACCACAGGAGGTAAATATTGTCTAGCAGCCTTCCCAACACTTCCAGGCTATGTCTAGACTGGCCACTTTTTCTGGAAAAGCAGACACTTTTCCGGAAAAACTTGCCAACTGTCTACACTGGCCGCTCGAAGTTCTGCAAAAGCACTGATGATCTCATGTAAGATTGTCAGTGCTTTTAAGGAAATACTATGCTGCTCCCGTTTGGGCAAAAGTCTTTTTCCAAAACACTTTTGCTCAAAAGGGCCAGTGTAGACAGCAGAGATTTGTTTTCCGCAAAAAAGCCCCGATCGCGAAAATGGCGATTGGGGCTTTTTTGCAGAAAAGCGTGTCTAGATTGGCCACGGACACTTTTCCACAAAAAGTGCTTTTGTGGAAAAGCGTCCTGCAAATCTAGACGTGCTTTTCTGAAAATGCTTTTAACGGAAAACTTTTCCGTTAAAAGCATTTCCAGAAAATCATGCCAGTGTAGACGTAACCCCAATGTTTATTGGGCTCTTAGAAGACATTTAGGGGTAAACTAACAGCAAAAATCATTGGGAGCTAGGACTGGTGACTATAAACAAACTACAGGACTGCAGAAAACTTGGTTACACCCGTGGTAAGAGGCCATTCGGCTAACAAATATTGTGCTGGACCACAGATGTTGCCGGACCAGAGAGTGCCAGACTAGAGAGGTTCAAACTGTACTTAAAGAGTACTGACATGGACCCACAGCTAGAGTCCTGCACATATACAAATATCTTTCTCTCTCTTATATATAAAATTTTCCTGACATATGACAGAATTTTCCTGCCAGGTGACAGAATGTCATCACATCATCAGCATCAATAGGCCCTCTCAGCAAAGCAAAAGTGGCCAGAGAGTGAGGTATGCTAGCATAGTCCCCTCATGTATCTGTATCTGAAAAAAAAAATAGCCATGGATATCCACATCAACATCCATGGATGCGGATACCTGAAGATATAAACCAGGTATTTGCAAATTTGCAGGGCTCTAGATGTAAAGTTTGTATCTATATCCACATCAGTATAAAAAAGGAGCCACAGATATCTGCATCCACATTCATGGCTATAAAGCGGATTTGTAGGGCTCTACCCACAGCCAACACATCATCAACTCAAAGGCCAATATACAGAGTTGAGAGTGTGACCAAACTTATCACCACCTAGCATGGAACATGCCATCTGCAGCTTTTACAACCCAGAGGCACAAGCTGCTTCTTTTCACTTTGTGCCTCCACCAGATGGAATCCTGTCTGGTTCTGTGGGAAACAGGCATACTAACAGGCATACTTGCCCCTTCTCAGCACTGGCTAGATGCTGAGAATTTAACTCCATGGAGCAAGGGCTATCCTACGGTGTTTGGAAAATGTCACCAATAACAATGCAATCTTTATTATTATATATTATTTACAACCAAAATGATGAATTGCACATAGGAAGCTGTAGTAAAATATTTTGAATCTTACAGCATCTGAAGCTTCCTATCATTGTATTGTTCTTGTTTCCCTTTCATTTTAGAGGGCATTTTGGCCTTCACAGGTTGCAATGTACAATATGCACAAAGACTACGTTAAAAAAAAACAGGGAAGAAACAATTTTAAAAAAGTTACCTCTGGGGCCACATTTTAGAGCACAGTATTTAGACATGGAAAGCGTCTATTAGATCAACAGCCTGAACACCAAAAGCAGAATATAGTTCCAATTTAAGGGGTATAGCAGATATCCCATAACAGTATATTTCAGATATTTCACTGGCATTACTTTTGATCTTAGCCAAAAATATTCTAGGTGATTGTTTTATCTATACATTTTCATTTGCTGCCATTGAACTAGGTCAGAAGAGTGGCTGGGTTAACAATACTGCAGCATGTACTTTCAGTCTGGTTGAATTCATTGTATAGATACCTAATACAAGACTTTTTATTACTTCTACAACAGACAAGCTTTCTGGCCATAAGGATTGTTTCTTCAGGTGGACCACCATTACGGAGAGACTACGATTTGTAGTTTCACTGCAGCTACACACTGCTCCTTGTGGCCAATAAAGTTTCATGTCTAAGCACAAGACTGAATACAAGCGTGTCATATAGAAAAGATGTTTCACTCCCCTCAAACCTGATATAATCAGGGCTAGAAAGATTTACGAAGGGCATCCCAACCCAGCCAGGCATTATAACCAATCTGGCAGTATTATGTGAACTTCTCTAAGGAAAAAGTATTTGCATGGATTTAATGACATTTTAATGATAGCTCTGTAGACAAGAAGAGATTCCTATAAAAACCGGGTTCTCTCAATGAGCTTCAGATGGAAAAATAATGGAAGATATGCTGAGCTAAAAAGAAACAGAAAACACTCTGGGAAGAATATGGAAGACACAACTTAACTGGCTGTATATTAAAATAAACACTCAGCATCCAGCATTATCTAGCAAGGAAACACTAGAACTGAAAGGGACCTTGAAAGATCAAGTCCAGTTCCCTGCCCTCACAACAGGACCAAGCACCATTTAGATCATCCCTGACAGATGTCTATCCAAACTGCTCTTCGCTAAAAACTCCTCTCCCCCCTGCCAGACCCAAAAAGGGATGAATGTGATGCGCCTTTGAATTCTTTGTCCCCTTCCTTCCGCTTCACACCATGATTCTTCCAAGGCAATTTTTAGGGAGCCAACTTGAAAGAGGCACTCTGAAAGAGCCTTGTTTTGAGGTGTTAAAACTGAGTAAAAAGGGCTTCCAATGACCCTTTTCCTAAGCACTGAACTGTGGGGAAAACACAGAGCATTCTCTGGGCAGGAGGCTACTGAGAAGACAGGCCAAACCCACAGATCTCTGGGAAACTGACACAGTGCTAGAGTTCAACAATCAAACCCTAGCTGTAAAAAGAGATTTTGCACATGGCTTTGGAGCTCAAGCGATGTCTTTTCCCTCTATAACCAAGGGAACACGAGTGGAGCTTTTTTTCTTCCTCATAACCCCTTTGTTGTTTCTTTCAGTTTAAAAGCATGTCTGGCAGCATCCAGAGAGGCCTCCCCAGCTGGCTCCGGACAACGGGAAGACAAGGAACAAAGTAATTAAAGAACAAGGAGCTATTCTGAATCAATCCAGCGTTGATCTAATAAATAGCAATCTCTCTATTAGTCACCACCTAACATATAGGGACGTCTCTGGTCTGTGCCACAACCACTCACGTTCTTGTCAACAGTCCCTTTGGTGGAAAAAAACCAGTGGCTTTTACCTCTTAGCACAGAACGATCCTTACGACAAATTACTAGAGAAAACACTTAATGGCAATCATGACAGGCAGGCCAGGACAGGGAGCCGACTCATGCCGAGGGAAAGAAATGCCCCCTGATCCAAACAAGCAGCGTCCTCCCTTGGCCCCAGGTAACGCCGCAGCGTGGGGTGGGTTGGACTTCGTGGGTCTTCTGAGGGATGACTTTAAATACACGGCTTGTTCAGCCGGGGACAGAGCAGGGCAGGCAAACCAGAGCCCTGCAGCGCGGCCAGCGCCAACACAAGGGGGAGTCCGGGGCCGTGCTGCAAACGCAGCCCCGAGACTGAGGTGGGTGCCTGGGAGAGGCAGAGGGGCTAGCACTCTGCGGCGCAGGCTGCACACGGGCAATTTCAAGCGGGGGACTGTGGGGGGGTCTTCAGGGCTCTCCGCTGCCCAGGCGTCCCAGGGGCTCGGGGGGAGGTGGGGACTCTCCGCTGTCCAGGGGCCCTGGGGCGGGCGAGGGGCTCTCCGCTGTCTCAGGGGTCCCCCGCTGCCGGGGCGGGGTTCTCACCTTCTTGCCCTCGGAGGCTCTGCACTCCCCGCTCAGAGAGGACGAGCGCCCCTGCCCGACGTGGTCCTGTTGCGGGGACATCGCTTCCATCAAGCTCCTTGGCCTGGGCTCCCGCGGCGGTCACAGGCGCATCCCTGCAGCGCCAGGTCCCGCGCGGCGGCTGCACCATCCACAGGACGGCTGCGAGCTACCGAGCGCCGCGGACACCCGCTCTGCTAGCCCCGCCCCCGAGCAGCCACGCCCACTCAGGCAGATGGCCCCGCCCACGCAGCGTACGGGCGCGCTTTCCCTGCCCCCTTCCCTCTCTACCAGAGGCTAAGGGCCGTGGCTTGGCTCAGGCTGTGGTTACTGCGCATGCTCGGCGCGCCGCGTGCTCTGCGGCAGGCCGCGGGGGGGCAGTGGCGCTGCAGCGGCAGGGGTCCCTGTCGCATGGCGCGCGCTGCCAGGCTGCACTGCACGCGCCGTGCCCACCGCGTTCCCTGGGGCCGAGCCCAGCTGCACCCCGGCCCGATCTGCACCCTGCACCTGCCTGTGCCTGCCGGGGGTGTCCAGCTGGGCAGGCCGAGCGCCAGGCAAGCAGTGCCCGCTGCAGCCCCTGCCTGTGTGAACGGGCGTGACTCCGAGCGCAGGAGAGGCCAAATTTGACGCTGTCTCTCTGTCACGATAAGAGCGAGGGAGTGTGAATGTGAAGCCTCACCACGGGCGCACGCCACATCTGCAATCAAGGGCTGTGCCCCCGCGCACCTTGCAAAGGGGTCAGGTTCTAGGCCAGCCCCCTTCGGCTGCCACGTGCTTCGAAGCATGTTTTTCTCCTATGATTAAATAGCAAGATGTGTCTCTCTGTTTATAAATAGCCTGCCGCTGTCATCTAGACACGAGACTGCACCACTTGTGCAGCTGGATCGGGCTGATTATAAGCAAATGCTTCTGCTTCAAGGTTAAGGCCACTTTCCTGTCCATCACCAAACGAGAGGATATAATATGCAAGAGCTGCGTTCTTAGCGTGTAATTAGAAAAATCAGGACCAGAAGCCCCGGGTCGGGAATCGGGTACATACTTGCTAACCACGTGCCGCATGGTTCCTCCTGCCTGCAGTACTGGCAGCAAAGCTGGCTCGCTCCCATTTGTAGCTGCTTGTATCTAGCTGCCAGCAACGGTCATGTGTCCCCCACGTGGGCGATCACATTTCCTAAAAGGTGAGCAGCATAAATTACAATTAGAGAAGGAACATTGTTCAGAGCATATTTGTTCCCTAACACTTCCTTCCAGTGGGAGGACATGAACTTACCCTTCTAGAGCACAGTCGAGCTCTTGATGGCTAAATAGTGAGGGGAAGTGGGTTTACCTCATAGCCACCTTTCCTGTCTCTCTATTCCCACAGTCTAGCCTTATTTCTGTGCATTATCTTGTTTTTGTACTCCTTCACCTACTACAGTGAAAAGGAGCTTGAGTTCTTTGGTAATGTTTAGTGGGAAATGAAATAAAGAAAATTCATGTGACTGTTTAGTGGTGTTTTGTTTGTGTAAATATGTAAAAACCTAACACTACTTTGGAGTCAGTTGGTACCACTGTGTTTTTATTTTTAACCACTTCTGGCATGCCAGCTATTGCATCGGTTTTACTAGATGCTACATGATTCAAAATGCTTAAACCCCATACTTCTTTCTTTTGTTACTTACCCTCTCGTTGACACTAGCTGTAACTTAACTTTGAGTCCAGGAGAAGAGTTATTTGTAAAATTATTTGAGGTAGGGGGTGTCATTTACTATGTTTGTACTGCCCCTAGCACAAATGGTTCCCATCCTAGTTAAAGCCTTTAGGCATCCCCACATTAGTCTTAAATAATAGTAATAATAAACCGTTTTGACACATGACAATTTATACATTTTCTGAGACCATTTGCTGTGGAATAATGTCTCTCCTTATCCAGTGGGACCCTTGCTATCTACCTGTGGTATTTCTAGGACACCCAGTGCTTACATTGAAAAGGGTAACAAAGCAGGGAGATGAGGAATTGAAGAGAAAGGGTAATAGTGGAAGGGTAATAGTTCTTCAGAGATTAATCTTGAGCCCTTGCTGAATGTGACACACAAATGCACCCAGAGTAGACTCTGCTTTTTGTACACATTTGAAGCTGATACAGTGACAACTCTTGCAACATCACAAGAATTATACTACAGAACTCAATGTGTCCATTCAGGATGTTAGTTTCCCCTTAATTTCAAATAGAGGATGAGCAGCTAAGGTTCCTGAACTGCTTTGAAAATCTAAATAACTATACATGCTATTTCCTGGAATAGCATATTTTATGTATTGCCTGTGTGTGCCCAGGACTTCTCCCACCTGACTCCTCATTACTGCAAGGCAGTAGAATCACAAGTATAAAACAGGTATACGAGAGTAATTAATTTATTAATGGGCAGGATATAGTAAAAATACTACTTCCTTATTCTTACACATAGATGCTGAATTTGCACGTTTTCTGGACTAAACCCTTCCTCCTAGCCCTAAGTCATCAACAAGTCTTTCTGGTAATGGACAAGTGGACAGAGCTAACTTTGATACCATCTAACAATACTCATTAGGTGAATGGAGGGGGTCACTTTTGGGCGATATGGTACATAACTTCCCAATCTGTTGCAAGACTTGTCATTGCTTCCATCATCCCCTACAGAGAGAATTGTACATACATTAACTGCAGAGTTTTGTGTACATTAAAATTTCATTAGATAAGATATTTCTTGCTCATTGAATTCTTAAAGAGGAGCTGAAATGATGCATTCTTGATATCAGCACTAATTTGCAAACAGATGGCCATATTCAAAAAACCCAAACCAGTACACAAAAAAATTCTTAATTTTTAGGGCTTGATAAAAATAAAATCCCTGTGTCACCAAAAATAAGTTGAGTAGCAACTATTGAACCAATTATGTATGAAATCAGGTGGCAAGCTGTGACTGCCGCTTGCAATGAAAAAGTTGCTTATTCTCTCACCCACCCTCTGTTCACATCTGCCTGTTACATCTTGTCATAACCAAGGCCTGACGCCTGCAGATTTCCAGACCTTGGCAAATTATCTAGTAGGACCACAGTTTCTGTGCCCAAAGGCTCTGGCTCTGGGTGGGGGCAGAAAAATGGTCATCCCCATTGCCCCAACTGCCCGGCATTCCAGCTGAGGATTGGAGTCAGGGCATGGGGCTGCTTGGTGCTCCTACTGGGGAGCAGAGTCAGGGTACAGAAGTGCTGGGTGGAGCAGGAAAAGCCCCAGTGCCCTGGACTCCT